GTGGGGGCGTTATAATGTGACGGTCAATCCCATTATTCGTTGGTAAAAGACTAGCCCAAGAGTTGGCGGTGGGTGGTGATGACTAGCTGCCTTCCCTCTAGTCTTACACTGCTAAATTAGGGACGGCTAGTGCAGATAGCCCTCGTGTAGCTTTGCGCGAAATTCAAAACAAACAATGTTTTCTAAATTAGGGACATCTAGCGCAGATAAATCTGAAGTAGCTTTGCTCAAAATTCAACAAACAAGCATATGATGTTCAAAGAAAGTGCAAAAAAACGCGCGCTTAAAGAACTTGAGTATATGTTTGGTAACTAGAGGCATCGCCTCAGTTTATAGCTCTAGATGTGTTTAGAGAAGAATAACTCATATGCTGATGTGTGTTTTTCTTTGTATTCTTGTTTTCCAGCAAGACTCTTCGCTTTCTAAGTATATCGATGCCAGTAGAGGGCATTATCATAGCAAAATGCTGAACAATCTTACTAATAAAGATCTCCCTAATGGCACTGTGGTAAGTCTGAAGGCTAAAACCGGGTTTCGATACCTGTTATGGGCACAGCACAGATAGACCATTGTGTAGTTTTGTGATTAACTACAAACTAGCTAACTAACAAATAAAAATTATAGATGGCTTATTTGTTTGTTGTTTGATACATGATTTGTAGAGAAAACAAAACAAAACACAGCGTTATTGGTAATAGATTGTTCAGAAAGTCCTCGCTAAGAAACTCGGAAATAAAAAAGAAAAACGTTAGTTCAAAACAACATGTTTTGAAAATGATAGGATTAGACTCGAGTAACTGAGTAATTCTAAAACCCAAATAAAGAAGTACGTCTTTATTAAATAATTATATCTAAATTGAATGAATTATCACTTGGGGCATTATAAACTATATGTTTCTTTTTTTGTAACTTAATCAAAATATTTTAGAAACAATTTCAGAAGACCTTTATTAAAACGCATCATTCGTAGGATATAATAATCCTTCATAGGTTTTATTTAAAGTTTACTATTGAACTTTATAAGTTTCCGGATTGGTATTGAAAAATGAATGAGAATCAGTTAAGACTTTTAACTGTAAACATTGATTTAAAATAAATTACTCTCGTAAACTGAAGTTAATAAAATAACAAGTAGTGTGTATTATTTCTATATTGCCAATTTAAATACCTGCTCATATAACTAGAATCTGTTAAAAACTGTTGTAATAGATTTACTATTACATATTCATTTTCGATGTTTGTTGAAATTA